CCCAAAAGCTAACTCTCCAAACTTCAGGCCCATTTAACTCACATCCTGTATGTGCAAAGTCCTTGAAAGATTTGTTCTCAACCGTTTCATGTTTCAAGTCAAAGACAAACTTGTCCCTAATCTGTATGGGTTCATGCCCGGGCGCAGCACACAGTCATGCTTTGCAGAATATCTTGTTCACTCAAAAGACAAGACACAAACAGCCTTCATAGACCTTAAATCACCCTTTAATGTAGCTAATAGAGACATTATACTTAAGCAACTAGCTAATTTTGGCATCCAAGGTAACCTCCTGACATGCTTAAAGGGTTATCTGTCCAACAGGTATGCCAGTGTTCTGTTTAGGGGAGTCAAAATTACCAGAATTAGAGCATTTGAGCTTGGCACGCCTCAGGGAGGAGTGTTAAGTCCTATGCTCTTTAATATACTGATGCACAAGCTTATTGCTGACATTTCAGTTCAGCCAAATGAAACTGTAATATGTTATGCTGATTATATCTGCATTATGACACAGACCAAGCCCAGGCTCCAAACCTTGTTGAATGTATTTGCTCAGAGGACTGTGGAATGTGATCTCATAATATCTGTTGACAAGACGAGGGTCCTCTATCCTCGTCCTGCTAACCCTCTGCCTCTTGACTTTAACATTAACAGCATGCCCTTGGAGCTATGTAGATCCTATAAATATCTTGGAATTAATGTGAATGATGCGAACTTCGTCGACAGCCTCCGTTGTCAAAATATTGCAGTGCATTAGACCTCTCAGATCCCTTGTTGGAAAGAGCGATGGAGTTAATATCACCTTTGCTCGTACTTTCGATCTTCGCTTTATTCGATCTGTAGTTGACTATCATGCTCCCCATCTCGTAACCATTCCCTCGAAACAACTAAACAGCCTTGATGTAGTACAAAATGAAGCCATGCGCATCATTCTAGGATGCCCAAAATCAACCAGAATTGTAAACATGAGGAAAGAGCTCGGGCTGCCCTCTCTATCTGAGAGGATAGCTCTTCTTAATACCATGTTTTGTGTCAAACTTTTGAAGAACAATGGTCCCCAAACTACAGCTCAAACTGAGTTGTTGTTCTATTTAAGTAATCCCGACTATCTCGCTAACCTTCAACAAAAGACTCTTTGGGGCGTGTCTTCATAAAAGTGTTGCAAATCTCTTGAAACTGAATGTACTAATCGCCCCAGACGAACCCATAAATGACATTCCTCCTTGGGTGGATATATCAGTTCCTATTAATTAAACACCGATGTAGTGATATTACACTAGAAACTATTAACAGACACATAGAGAGTATTAAATCAAGTGAATGTTATGCTTATACTAATGGTTCTGTACAGACAAACACAGGTAGAACAGGTTGTGCATTTGTATTATATAAAGAAAAGAAGATGATAGTGTCAAACAAGCAAAGGCTGAACAACTGGGCCAGCACAACACAAACTGAACTAACTGGAATCTACTTAGCCACAGACTACCTTAAAGAAAATGGAGGTGGGGTGATATTCTGTGACTCTCAAAGTGCTTTGAAATCTATGTCTAAAGTTGTATGTGATATTAAAAGAAATGTGATAACTGCCAATGAGAATAATTTTCGTATTGAATTTCTGTGGATTTTGTCCCATGTTGGAATTAGGTATCATGACCGTGCTGATAAACTGGTCAATGAGGCATGTAAGAAAGAAAATGTTGCCCGTGACCTTGGCCTGTCCAATGCTGTACTTAAAAAATTCAAGTCAGAGTCATGAACTCTGATCTAGAAGAACTGAGAAATGCAGAGAAACCTGACTATTGTAGCATTAGTAAATATGACAAATTTTGCGACAAGGGGTATCGGTATGGCCAGCATAAGGACAGAATTAGACAATATGATGTAGTCGTGGCCAGAATTAGCCTAGGATACAGACACATCTGGCAAGTTAGTGATGCTGTACCCATACCGGAGCACTCAGCATGTAAACTTTGTGATAAACCTTTAAAGTATACACTTGAACACTATATTATTGAATGTGACACTGTCAAAGACTTCAGGCCACATTCTTGCTGATTATCCAAAATTTTCTAGCCCACACTGATTAGTCTTCAATTAGAATATGACTCCTAATGTACATGAACCACTGTCCTGCGTGGCAGTAAACAGTAATATCACCCACATGACTGTGACCTATGTACTCAAAGCTTTGTCAATAAATTTGTTAGCTATAAAAATCTCTCTCTCTCTCTCTCTCTCTCTCTCTCTCTCTCTCTCTCTCTCTCTCTCTCTCTCTCTCTCTCTCTCTCTCTCTCTCTCTCTTTCTCTCTCTCTCTCTTTCAATCTCTCTCCTATCTCTCTCATACTCTCCCTTACTCTCACCCTCACACACGCTCCCGCACCCTCACTCACTCTCACCTCTAACTCACTAAACTCTCTCACCCTTACTTTTCTCTCTCTCTCTCTCACACACACACACACTCCCTCACCCACCATCCCATCTATTGTTAAAATAATAAACAACTCCTGATTTATGTACTGTACAGCCCTGTAAATGTATTCAATGCATATTTTATCATTATGTCTAAATCAAATGTAAGTCTGTATATTTTCAGCCACCGGCTGCAACTCTATTAATAAACCGTTTATTATTATTATTATTATTATTATTATTATTATTTACTCCCTCACTCTCACATCTCTTACACACATACTCCCTCACCCTCAGCTCACACACACGCACACAAGGGCATGAGTTAATAAGGATGTCACCGTCATCTATGCTGGTGTAGTTCTTAGGTGACTAAAGAGGCTGATACAGGACCGGCAGGGTAGTTCACAGATGTTTCACATGTGGAGGGCTACACCTAGTGCAGGAGGGGCGGCGGTAGCGTCTTTCCGGCACTGGTACTTTTCTGCCTCGTTTTGCAGTCAAACTAACTCGAAAGTATTGGCACCTTCTAGTATGGTGATCCTCCAAACGTTACGGTGTGGAGTAATCGTCTCCCAGGTGAGGGGGTCGATTTGGCACTTTTTTCAGGTTTGTCTTAAGACTATACTTATACCTTTTCAGCTGCTTGCCAGCGTTACGTTTACTATTCATTGGGTGATTGTAAAGTAGCTGCTTTGGCAGTCTACTGTCGTCCATGCGGGTAACATGGCCAATCCAACGTAGTTGTTCATGGATAATGGTTGCCTCGATGCTCCTGGCATTTGTTCTCTTGTCTTCCCAACGAACTCGGAGGATGGAACGTAGATTACGTTGGTGAAAGTGTACAAGTGCCATGAGGTGCCTCCTGTCTCATTGCCATATAGCAGGATGGGGAGGACAACTGTTCTATATATGCGTAACTTTGTAGATAATTTCAGCTCCCTACAGATGAAGACACGGTTTTGAAGTCTGCCAAAGGCTTGAAATGCACATCTGATTCGATGTTGAATCTCTTTATCGATGTCCACGGTGGTGGACAAGTGAGAGCCGAGATACTGAAAGTGGGTAACATTAGACAGGGTAGAGCCGTTAAGGAGGATGGATGGTGGAGGTGTGGCTGAACCAGGGGCAGGCTGAAAGAGAATTTGAGTTTTACGACATTCACCTCAAGGCCGAAGTGTGCATACGCATCTGCATAGGTGTTCAGGATCTCCTATTGGTCACGTTCAGTGTGAGCGACAAAGGTGAGGTCCTTTGCATACTGACGTTCAGTAATGGAAGCTGCCGACTTCTTTGTTCCTACCTGGAGTCGTCTTATTTTGAAAAGACCCTTCATCCGGTACTCGATGTCCACCCCTCCGGCACGAGTAAGCAAGGCAGCTAAGAAAATGGAAAAGAGAGTTGGTGCCTGTACACACCCTTGTTTAACCCCCGTTTGGATGGGGAAGAATTCAGACTGGGTGCCATTACGCAGGACACTGCCGTTCATGCCATCGTAGAGTTGCCTCACAATGACAATTTATTTTGGTGGGCAGCCGAAACGGCTGAGGGTCCACCAGAGGGCTTTTCTTATATATGGCAGTCAGCAAAGATCATGTCAGTGGTGCCACATGATGGTCTAAAGCCACACTGAGATTCTGGGAGGAAGTTTTTCGCCTCAGGAAGAAGTCTGTTTAGGACAGTGGTTCTCAACCTGGGGGCCATGGCCCCCAAGGGAGCCTTGACAAGAATTTAGGGGAGCAACGGCGAGCTGTTATAAATTGTACGTTTCCAAATAATGTTGGGAATCTGAATTAAACAAAACTTGTATTACTTATTTTGACTTGGCAGAAGAGAATTTTCATTCTTTTTTTTTTTGTCTTTTTGTTTAATCATAACGACAATGCAATTTTAATATTTTCATACTCTGGTGCTATTTTTTTTTTTTTTTGTATTATTTAAGGTTTCACAGGTCCCTGTCTGTGTGACAGGCGCTGGACCGAGCTGCTGAACTGACTTGTTCAGTACGTGTCCGTGTGTCATCCCTTTGCAAGTGGTGATAGGACCGAATGATCCCAGTCTGGCCTGGGATACCATCACGAAAACAGTGGAGTGTTTTGTCTCTGAACCATATATTGTGTTTGAGCTTGACTCAAGCATAATATACTCCGTGATTGGTGTTACTTATTTTGTTTCACAATTCATGTGGTAGCTGCTTTACGTGGGTGAAATATTTGTACACTTCCTTTATTAATTATTTCCTTATTTATTGGTGCCATTGTTGTTCATACTCATTCTTTACTTATTTAATCCTACCATTTTTAGTGCTAAATTGGTATGACTCACTATTCTTCTCATTCTTCCAAGTTGGGCAGTGCTTGTCAAAGGAGGCGTGTTCTTGCTTAGAGGAAGTACACTTCAGCTTGCTAGCTTGAGTGTGAATGTTTACCTGTGTGCATGTTTGTGTATGACTGTATGTGTGCTTTATGTGTGAGTGCATGGGCGTGTTATGTATGTGAATGTGTGTGTGTGTGTTTGCCATTCTAACTCTTGTCCTATTTATCTGTCCTTCTTTATCATTCTTTGTCTGTTTGTCTGTTCTGACTAGTGTTGCTAAGAAGCGGAAGTACATCGATGGATACATTAACTACGGATTTACATCAATCCTCGCTGATGGCATTGAGAAACCTCAGTGTGTGTTGTGCTTCAAAGTGCTGGGGAACGATTCTATGAGGCCTAGTAAGGTGAAGCATCATCTGATGACGATCCATCCACAGTATGCGCAGAGAGACACCGATTTCTTCAGGCGCCATGAACGGAGTTTGGAAAAACAGAAACTGGACGAGAGTGGTGCTTTCCAACAACAGACCGTAAGTGTAGTTGAGGCATCATACGAGGTTTCCCTAGAAATAGCAAAGCAAAAGAAGCCCCATACAATTGGTGAAACTTTAATTAAGCCATGTGCTTTAAAAATGGTCAAACGGGTTCTTGGAGAGGAAAGTGAACGTGAAATTCAACAAATTTCCTTGTCAAACGATACAGTGAAACGGAGAAGTAATGAAATGTCAGATGACATTAAGGAAAAGGTGATACAGGAGATCAAATTATCTCCAACTGGTATGTTTGCAATACAGCTGGATGAGTCAACGGACGCGAGTTCTTGTGCACAGCTACTCGTGTTTGTTAGGTATGTTTTCTTGTGTGACATCAAGGAGGAATATCTGTTCCGTACACAACTTGAGACCACCACAACAGCTGTAGATGTGTTGGAAAAGCTGTCTTCTTTCTTCACAGCTAACAGGATCAGCTGGGAAAATTGTTGTGGAGTCTGTACGGATGGGGCTCCGGCGATGCTGGGATCAAAATCGGGGTTCCAGAAGCGTGTCAAGGAAGTAGCTCCGAATGCCAAGGGGATCCATTGTATGATCCATCGTTTTGCACAGGCGTCGAAAACCCTCCCTGATGAACTTGGAGGCAGTGGTCAAATGTGTCAACTCTGTGAAAGTTGGAGATCTGAACTCTCGCTTTTTCCAGAACCTTTGTAGAGACATGGATTCAGAGCATGAAGCCCTCCTCTTTTACTCCAAAGTGCGCTGGCTTTCCAAGGGCAATGTTGTGAATCGAGTGTTTGAACTTAAGGGAGAGCTTAAGTTGTTCCTGGAAGTGCAAGAAAAAGATTATCTATTAAGTCACTTCAATGAGGTGTTGTGGGAGCCACTTCTTGCATATTTAGCAGATATATTTGAGCAGCTAAACAGGCTGAATCTCAAGCTGCAGCGCAAGGACAGAAATGTGTTTCACCTCATGGATTGTCTTCGTGCATTTCTTGCCAAGCTCCAGAATTGGCAAAGGAAAGTCAATGCAGGAAATGTTGCCATGTTTGAGAATCTTTCAACTGTTCTTGATGAGAATGAAGATCATCTGCTTGATCCATCACTCAAAACTGAAATCACTCAGCACCTGAAATCCTTGGAAAGTGAGCTCAAAAAGTATTTCCCAGAATTCGAGGAGGATGATGGGAAATTGGTGAGGAATCCTCTCTCTGGCACTCTTGATATTGCTACCATTCCCAATGATGTTCAGGACGAATTTCTTGATCTCAAGAATGATTCTGCTGCCAAAGATCTCTATGAAGAAAGATCTCTGACTGTATTCTGGTGCTCAATGTATCAGTCATATCCAAAAGTTAGCGAGATTGCACTTCGAGTCCCCTTGCCTTTTTCAACTACCTATTTATGCGAATCTGGTTTCTCCACCCTTCTACATATAAAGAGTAAAAGCCGGAACCGACTGGATGTGGACCCGGACATGAGATGTGCATTGTCAGTGACACAACCTCGGATCAGTCACCTGACTGAAAGGAAACAATGTCAGTCTTCCCAGTGAGCTGTGACAAAATATGCAGAGGTCATATGAACTTTTTCCCAACCAAATTCAAGTTTGCTGTGAGGCTTGTCTAGTAGTCACTCTAGTCTAGTGACGTCAGTTATGAAAATCATGTAAGTCTATCAAAATATAAGATAATGATGATTGTTAACCTTGAAATAAAATAAGGGTATTCTCTTCACCTGCATTTTATTTTTCAACATTATTTGTGGGGGTGAGAGAAAAATGAAGGCGGCCACGAGGATGTTGAAAATTCCTCAATGGGGGAATGGAGTAAAAAAGGTTGAGAACCACTGGTTTAGGAGGACTCGGGCGATAATCTTGCCAGCTACGGACAGCACCGAGATGCCACGGTAGTTGACAGTCTGACCGGTCTCCGTTGTTCTTATAAATATTGACGATGGAGGCGTCTTTAAGAGATTGGGGGATTTCCTCCTTTTCCCATATGTTCTCCAGGAGAGAGTGGAGACGGCTGGTAAGCAGAGGTCCTACTGCTTAATACACGTCGGCTGGGATTCCATTAGGTCCCGAGGCTTTGTTATTTTTCATCTGTTTGATGGCAGTAGCTACCTCATCCAGGGATGGAGTATAGCTGAGGTGGGTCAGCTCTGGATGCTGAGGGACCTGCTGGATAGTAAGGACATCCACATCGGTGTTTCAGTTAAGCAGTGAATGGTAGTGCTCTTTCCAACACTGAAGGATGCCTTTGTCGTCTTTAGTTAGTGAGTTATAGTCGGAGGAGTGGAGGGGGACTGCGCCACGAGTGATTGGCCCAAAATATGTTCTAGTGGAATCGAAAAATTCACGCATCTTGTGCTGATTTGCAAATTTTTGTGTTTTGCGTGCTTTATTTTTACACCAATCGTTCTTTACATTACGAAGTTCACGCTGAGCCGCCGCTTTCTTCTTGTGGAAGGTATCAGCTTTGGTCTGAGACTAAGGTTTGTTCTGCCAGTTAGTTAAAGTAGCATGTTTATCATCGACGAGTATTCCCTCAACTTGTCACTTCTCACACACACACACACACACTTGTCAACCATCAGTGAGACAAGACGTGCCCTGAAGGCGCTCCCGGTTTTGGCAGCCAGGCTGAGTCTGTTTGGCCCTGCCCCGCCCCCTCCCCCTGCTATATACCAACGCCCTACCAGCCTTACTACACCGGGATTTTTTCAGCAAAACATTCAAGTGATCAGTGCAATGATTGATTACCAAACAGCGTTCCGAGAGCGCATTCCAAGGAAAAGCACAGAAACACAGCAGTGCATTACCAGATAGTGGGCACTTTGTCGGTCACCTTTAAAGTGCCAGTGACAAGGACCACCGCTGTGTTTACATATATCGTGGATACTGTGTTGGCGACCTTAAACGCCAGAGACAAGGACTCATGGTGTTTACGACTGACAAGTATTAACAGATGTCTACCAGTGTCAGTGACCCTCAAAGTGCCGCCAGTGAGTTTATGGCCACCGGGGACAAACACTTCCGTCCGTCCACAGCAACAGATATGAACAGACGGCCACCAATTACTTACTCTCGACGCTGTCTGTACCTTCTAAACTGTGGAAACGGTTATCCTGATGGCAGTGTTATCGAGCGACTCAAGTCACTGAACATATTCCATGCGTGCAACCGTAGACAGGGGCAGGGCCGGATTCAGGAGTGGGCAAAGTGGGCAGCTGCCCAGAGTCCTCCACATATTACAATATGTTATTTATTTCTTTATTCATTTGGATTATTTTTATTTTCATTCTTTAAAATTCATGTTTATCTGTTCCATGCATTCTTGGACAGAACCATTATTTGAGTAGAGGTTTATCTGAATAATAATGCAAAGAATCACCTCTCTGTAATAACAAATAATATATTCTTTTCTGTGAAGTCTCTTGAAAATTTTTGACATGTGCGGTAGTAGCTATATCAGGGCTGGTCGACTTGAAACCACATGAATGACTCCAGTCATGTCTCACTTTTGTGTGTGTGTGTGTGTTTTGGGAATTTGTACACTATCAACTATATAAACAGTTAATTAAAAATTTCTCAATGTTTAAATTTCCTCAATATAACTGCATATGGCTTCAAAATTCTCCAAAGAAGTGTTCAAATTTCGAAATTTTCCCGGGGGACTTACAGCGCCCCCCGGAACTCCCAGATGTTTAGGCTCGCTTCACTCGCCACCCCACCCTCTTGGGTAGTTATAATGAGAGGGGCCTCCACAGAGAGGCTGCCCATGGGCCCCCACAGGTCTAAATCCGGCACTGGACAGGGGCGCCATAAAGAAAAGCCCATTAGGACCATAACCTCCACTAGGAAACCAGAGAAACTCACCCCTGACAGACCGTACCATTACATTGAAGTTCCACGGATATGGTATGATCTCCCGTCACTTCCCAAGCTAATAAATTTGACGACCTGGCAACCACAGTCAGGTCAGTCGCTGCCAACGTGCATGAAACGTGTGGTATTGAGGGATATCAACTCTTTCATCACCTTCGTTCACATGGACGAGGGGGGCGCGTTGTCCTCTTATGGCAAGATGACCTACGCCCGTCACACCTGGATGTTCAAGTCCCAGCAGATGTGGAGGCATTATGGGTACGTGTTGTGCCTCGGGCCCACCGGCGCCACAGTGCTTCTATCATAATCTGCGTGTCATACCGTCCTCCTCGCTCACCCACCAAAGACATCCTTATCAATCATCTCATTACCACCTCAGACCACCTCAGAGTTAGGTACCCATGTCCCAAGTTAGTAATATGCGGGGATTATAATGAAATTGACACCACTGATATCGAGGACCAGATGTCACTATCACAAGTTGTGAACTTCCTCATACACGGTCAAAATACCCTTGACCTTATCTTAACCGGCTTAGCGGACCAGTACCAACCACCTCAACCAATGCCTCCTATCGGGTTAGCACACACCTATCAGTGCACTGGTCCCCAGCTGCCACTCCCTCTCAAGTACAGAAACCCTACATCAAGACCTACAGGCCGTTGTTGAATGGTTGCAAGAATCACAATGGGATCTGGAGAAACATGGAAGCAGCGTCAAGGAGCGCTCTGGGAAGCATGACCATACAAACAACTCTCTTGTCTAGACGACAGACGTATTTACGTTATATTACTTCTACACTGGGTGAATGACAATTCAACTGTTAAATCGTGAACACTGGTGAACACTGATATTCACTACAATTGACTGAATTAACTGAATGGCTACACAAAAACATACCTGGAGAAACATTGAAGCAGCGTCAGGGAGCACTCTCCCTGGCTCATCTTGGGGTATATATACCCCTGAGTTGCCAGTGATCGCTACTCCAGCAATGACAATAATTACAAACAAACTAACTGTTACTCATTCAAAGATGACCCTCAGTTGACAAAGGTCTGGCGAATTACTTAAGTTGATTTACACAGATTAATTCAAGATTGAGCTTCCCAGGAGAAGTGGAATAACAACGCATTGATAACTGTCTTCACAAAGGCGGGACTCTGGGAGGGAACACAAGTGTAGCGTCTATGGGGAAAAAAACACGTCTTCTCAGGGGTCGCTAACTCACTCATGTTTTGCGGGCGTGCAGTTTAATAAGAATCATTAGTTAAATAGATCAGCAGTCAACGTGACCATGACAAAGCTCTCCCGTTTCCCGAGATTCTTATTAAGCGGTAACGTTCGCTAAACATGGACAGTAATTACACAGATTCTTTAAACAACTGTTACCTTTCGTCACGGTTTCACACTACATACACTCGTAAAACACATCAGGGATATTACAGGTATCTAGTACAAAAGCATACAAAATAAAAATAAACAATGGTTACATACATGGGATAAACAGTAGCAAAAAAAAAAACAGTGTATTCATAGACAACATGGCATAAGGAAACAAAATACAAGTAATTAAACATACATAGGAGAATAATGCAATAATAAAGAAAAAACATAAAAATGGGATTACATACATAACATAAAAATTTTGTTACACAATACACACTCTGAAGATACAGTTTCTCATATCACAGTTCAAAGAGGAGACTGATCAAATGCTTACTCGACACCACTGAGATTTAACTTAGATTTCTCAAGCTAGGACGTAGATGAACAGACCCCATCAAGTCGAAGGAATGACATGCTTGGCTTTAAACTAAAGAGC